ATCAGCTATTTTTTACTTTTGAATTATCTTTTACGTTAAAATTTGTCCTGTGAACAGAACCATCAAGATGATTTTGTTCTAGTATTAAATGCATACATCAGCCTAGATAATGACTAGGTTGATATAATATAATCTGGACAGTTCAGCGCAGAAATGGTCACTGTTACTTTAACCAAAAACAGAATTTAGTTAATAAGAAACCATCATCATTATTATGATCGGTTTTACTGATCACGATATATACGTTCAATTTGTCCTAACCACAATCCCGTCTTATTTTCTTCAGATGTGACCTACCATGTTAAACTTATCACCGGATTTGAACTTACACGACGGGTTCCAAATGTGGACCAGGATATGCTTATCCTTCTGGTACATCTGATCAACTCCATATTTTGGTGGGGTTCGTGTTGCTCAGAATTTAGTTTTCTATGCTGTGTTCGGCTTAGGAGTATTAATATTTTCGCCTATCTTTTACGTCAAACACATGTTTAAATTGACATATTTGACCAAAAAAGGTCATTTACCCATTGTTTTTGCACATAATAGATATGAATCGAGTCTTTACCCCAAAAATACTTTACAAAGATTAGCTTTTTTTACAAAATACACTATGTAACAAAATATTTCTGTATAAAGCTTTTGTTTATATCAATGTAATAATGACAAGTTATCAAAATGAGGCTACTTTTGCAGTTGTCGCAAGTTTACACCAAAAGAAAGAATTTTGAACACTTGATGCATATACGTTATACAAAATTAAAAACTAAAAATGAATATTAGAATCTGTAAAACTAATGTCATATGAACATATGAAGAATGTAATTTGGTAGATCTATAATACTTTTTTAACATATAACTGCTTACCATATAAAATCAACTGAATGTAGTAATCTTCATTCAGCCCTCCTCTACATACGTAAATTCCCTCATCATCAGGTTGCGCGTTCAGTACATGTAATCTGTAGTATAACCCAGTGCTTGTATTTGATACTTTGTATTTAGTACTATTAACAACAGTATTCTCACTAGCTACAATCATTGGATTTTTGTACCATTTAAGATGGTTCTTTTCATATATACACTGCAAAACTGCTTCATGTCCATGTTTAGCATACTTTTGAAAAGGATCTGATGCTGTACCTGAACCTTTTGCATCAACGTCTAATAAAAATCTATCTACGAAATGAATGAAAACATTAATTGTTAGATTGGAATGAATAGTAAAAATTAAAGAATGGACAATATATGTTCATGTTGGTATTTTTTTTTAAATATGGACACATATGTCAATCTTTCTCCCTACATGCAGACTAATCAGCATGATGATTATTTGTAAGTTACGTATTTAAAAGATATACATGTTTCTTTGTAGTTTCAGAGAAAAATAATATCCAACAGAATCAAGAATGTGATTTTAAAACATATCTTTCTTATATAGTCTGTTTATAAATTATGAACTTATCAAGAAACTACGGTTCCAACTCCCTCAGGCAAAGTTGACCTTAGATGGATTTGACTATTATTTTTAGGTCCCATTTGGTCATATAGCTGTTCACGTATTGCGGTTCTTATACCTGTACATCATCGGCTTTCAAATATTTGGCTTTGTCATTTCTGATTAAGGTAAATCAGGAAAAGCGCTTCAAACGCAGGAGCTTTATAAAGTGTAATTTTCTTTTTTTTTATAATCTTTTGTCAATACCAAAACAAAACAAGAAATGTGTGATAAATCTTTTTTTTTTAACATATTTATGCCTAGTTTGTTTCGGATTTGTCTTGTAGTTTTGGAGAATAGATGACACAAATATGATTCTCCATAAGGTTATTTGAGAACGAATGCGTAATGATTGCTCCCTAGTGAGATACCCAATGATCACAGCTTTGGATTCTTAATAAAGTGTCTCTTTAGTATTATTCTTGTATTAAGGATTTTAATGTGTCATCTGACAATAGGCCATTCAGAGTAAAGATTACCTGTTTTGCCCAGATATGAATGGTTTCTTACAAATATTATGCCTTACAATCTCTGTTTGAAAAAGACTTTAAAAAACAGAATGATAATGTGATTTCCAATAATGTTAAATGGGAAAATTTGTTGCATGATTTCATATAAGCTTTCCATTTAGAATCGAATGAATATTTTTTTCTGAAGATGTTCACGTCATAAATCATATAAATTTTTAAACAAATTGAGCATTGATTTTCCAGAGATAAAAAAATTAGAAATTGACCATGCATCATCAATTATTGCTGACGACGGATTAAATGGCAATGGCACACTACTATTTTCATTAATTATCCGTTAAAACATAAATGTTCACAAGGTTCACAGCAATAACCTTTCATTTTTAAACAAAAGTCAGTGGTATGAATTTCGAGAAATCACAATTTAAGGTCAAGGAACAGTAAATGGGCTATGTGGCAGATTTTGGTAAAATGTTGCATACAACTTTGGCTCGTTGAATAATAATAGATAATAGGATCACTGACTTCGTGTTTACGCTATACACATTCAAAATGATGTTATAGGTGCAAAAAATACAAAACGTCGCAATTAGCGTAACGTCATCGCGTTAAAGGCAGTAAAACATCATTCTTTTTTACGTTTTTTCATTACCAACTAGATGACAGATTGGCAAATACACCGAAAACAAAGTCATTAATCCTATTCTTATTTTACATCAATAAAACGAAAATGTATGTATCATCAACGTAGGATTTTTTTTAAAATCTATATAATAGAAATTGAAGTTTAGATTATTTAAGACAAATTTGAGAACAATTTTTGCCGATTTTATACTCTTTCTATTCAAATGTACACCTATTTTGAGAGAATTTAATACTTAAATATTTCAGAAAATAAAAGAGATAAATGCAATATTTTTTCGATTTTCAGTTACAGTTCAACGAGCCACATCTGTATGCAAGATCTTACCAAAATGTGTGACATAGCCCATTTTTTGTTACTTGACCTTAAAAGAAAGTCATTTCTATGATTAGTTTACTCATATATGTCGTGCCTCCGAAGCGATTTACTGAATTTACTTTCACAAGGAAGCATAATTGCAACATATATGATGAGTCAGTATACTTTGCCACTTGCTACCTTTCTGGAAAATCCTTCTTATCTATGATGATTTTCGTGCCATACTAAAGGTCGTTTATAAAAGTCTTACATTTTTTAATCTTTTCCGACTATATATGGTTTAATCAATACATCATTCTTCTTCTGTGTATAGGAAAATTCCATATAAATGTATAAAACATGTCATTATTTCTTTTTTTAAATTGTCCGAAGGATTTGGCAGAAAAAAAATAAGGTTGTTCAAAATAGGTAAGACAAGAGTTGTTCATCACACTTATTCATACTTCTGCAAGATTTCTTTTTAACCACTGTTAGTTATGTCCTTAATATGTATAATTCTATAGTTCATGTTTACAATATTTTCATGATTCGCAAAAAAATCCTTTAAAGTAATTTAAAAGTTGTCTCCCCTAATTAAAGTTTTTGTCGAAAATTTAATATCATTACTGTATTTTCAAATGCTGACACATATGACTTGTGTTTTTATTAGAATTAATATTTATGAAATATGTTTTCAAACCAGTCTAATGCAAATCAATATGCATATAAATATGTGTCACTCTCATCTAAAATCAATAGAGTGTCGTTAGCAAACTGTGATTGCTTATACTCAACTTGGGTGACTTTGAAAACATTTATTTCCATATTTCGTCTGATCTTGGGTGCAAAAAATTCAGCTCATAAGATAAAAAGGTAAGATGATAGCCATATTGGTAAGACAATTTGTATTTGTAAGAAAATACTTTTATACTGAATGAAGAAAGTAATTGAACTGAATAGATGTTTTATTGATTACAAAAATTCGTACAACCACTAAACAAATGGCAAAGACTACATTAGTATGTTGTTTTTTTATAATAACCACTAGGTGTGAAGTACCACAAAGAAAGGAGCATAGGTACAAACATGTATTCAATGTATAGTTTGTAATGCTCCAATTCTGAAAGCCAGATTATTTAAAATATAGACGATTTTCTGTTTTCAACAGCTTTAAATACACAAAAAATCACATTTTAGTAATGTACCAGAAATCAGTGATATAAATAAGTCTTTGCTGCTCTGGTATGATAACTGTTATACCTGTTTATATGTAAAATATACCTTAGCTTTTAAATATAAAAACATCAAGGTTCATCATAACAATTAGACAGAAAAAATTGTGTTTACACCTCAAAAATCACTTTGAGTACAAACAAACCCGTGCAACTAGAAATGATTAGTTACTATGGTATGTAAATACTTACTGTATGCAGCCAAATGTAAAACAATTATGCAGGAATTAGCTAACGCCATATTTAGATGTATTTTCTTTTTAATGTAGTGATAAAACTTCCTGTTACAACACCTACAAAATATTTGTCATTTAAATTACACACACTAAAGTGTAATTCTCAAAATGGAAGGGGTATGATAAAAAGGAGCTAATTTAGCATGTTTAGGTAGGGCCAAAATACTTGCGACAAAACAGGAAAGAGATATATTTAAATACACCATAGATGACAGTAATAAAATGTTGTTTATATGTAAACATTAAAGGGCAATATCAACGAGGCAGAAATATACGAAACAAAGTCGTAAATCCTGTTTATAATATGTACGGTCGTCTGTTTATTTGATGTTATATATTCCTTATGACCTTGATATCAATCAGTTGGGGCAATATGCGTAATAGATTCTCCATAGGCGGTAATGTTAACGTTTTCTTCTGTTGCTCAGGCCATATCGTTAACTTGGATATGTATGATGGCTCATTTTGAAGCTGAGACACTTGCACATGTGTGGTGCGATTTTCGGGGTGGCAAGTGTGATTCGTTTTCCCGTCAAGTGCCCAACCCCGAAAGATAGTGAAAAATGTCACTCTCCTCAGGAAATAATCACAAAATTATGACCATAAAAATCATTAAAAAATATATCCTTTGTAATTATTTGTTCAGGTTTATTTTTTTATACTTTTTTTCACATCACATCAGCGCTATAAAACACCAGTCCTAGTTCATTTATGTCAATTTTTAAAATCACAGCTTCCACAATTGTATGGCGGACTAATTTTTTAATGAGAGTCATAAATCTGTGTTCCTCATCTCAAGGTCCATTAGGGATATTGACCCATATTAGATCAGCTAATGTCAGATTCCACTTATATTGCAGTTTGTATCCCTTTAGTACACATTTCTGAACAATTCTGTGAAGTTTTAGCCATATCTGAAATAAAATAAGCTCATTTTAATACTTTTAGGTAGCAATGTTTATAACTGTTCTATGTCCTTTTTAAGGAAGAAAAAAACACAATAAGCATATGTTATAAATTTACATTTTAAACATTTGTTTTAACTTTTATTGGTATAACTGCAATTCATAAGCCTCTTCTACCTTACAGACTTTCTACAAATCCTCATTTTTTGTTGATAAATCATGTAAATATAGTGTTTTTCACTTAAAAACTATCAGTTTTAAGAAATTTTTCCACCCTGATAGTCTTGTTTTCTATTATATTTTTTTTTATTGAATAAATATCTCTAATATATGTTCATTACTGTAAAGATTAGTCACAGGCCTTTCCAAAACTAGTCTTGTTTTTAAAATCCATCAAGTAATAAGAATTTTAGAGGTTTTTTTGTATGTGTGTTGAAAGTGGGAAAAATGGGTTATTTCTTTGGTGAAGAGTACATTGTGACGTCATTGTTTTTGTGACGTCATTGCATTATGACATCATAATTTAGTTTGTTCACATCTTACAGAGTGTATTGACATTGAAACATACCACACACAGCATCATACATGCAAATTAACACACATGTATTGCATAAAAAATTATTTTTCCTATCATGCACACATTCATTGATACAACATACAAGGAAATAAAATAAAATAAAATCATGTCCATATTTACTTCCATTTGCAACTATTTCAGTTCTGTTAGCTTTTAATTTTACTTTTGATATCCTAATTTTATAATTTTGTAGTTTTTGTTTGATTTGTTTGGTTTTTATATTGAAGATTTCTTTTAAAGCATGCTTACTTTAGTCTTTAGTTGGTTCATGTGGTATGAATGTCCCAATTTCCTGACACAGTTAAAAATACATTTGTAAACAACAAGAGTTATTCCCCCTCCTATGTCAATAAAAGGTAAACACTCGTGAAACAAGCCGTAAAATGTGTTACCTCAGGTTAATATAAACATGCATGTTTGTTTCAGTGTCTTGGAGGGTGAGAGGGAGGGCTTTTATCCCATTTTCATTTTTTTAGCAGTGTAAGAAACTTGTATTTGAGTAAATGATTCATGTATAGTGAAGTGTGCAATATGTTACCTCGGAGTCTTGAATTTTAGAATTAAAAATAGAACAAACCACAGTTTAAGATGCAACATGCAGTTAGGATATGTTGTGCCATGCAGTTCATGAGTGGTGCATTTTTGTGAAGTTACACAGACCTTACGGTGGTTATTTAAATCATGGGGCTCAAAAATTATATGGTCAGCATTAACGCACAAGGCATTATGGCAGAGGTGCGAGGCATCTAAATTTCTATCAATGTCAACTGTTTTTAACTGTAACATTTTTGCCAAGCGTGCAACATTCATTTTTGTCCTTTTCCATTTGGATAAGCCACATTTAGCATCCCTAAAATATAATTTCTTTTCCTCTGAATGGCCCCTGTCCAGATTTTACATGACCCATTTTCTGCATCAATGCTATTTAACAACAAAAAATTAGTATATTTTTGATAAAAATCAAAAGTTTGGGAAGCCATTTTGTATTGTTTTGATTAATTAGCACTAAAAGAGTGTAACTGACCTTGATTTCAGCAGCTATCATCCTAAATTGTGGTCACTGAGTCATGAAACACTCCATCACCTTTGAAATTCAAGGCCACAATTTGGGGCAATATGCGTAATAGATTCTCCATAGGCGGTAATGTTAACGTTTTCTTCTGTTGCTCAGGCCATATCGTTAACTTGGATATGTATGATGGCTCATTTTGAAGCTGAGACACTTGCACATGTGTGGTGCGATTTTCGGGGTGGCAAGTGTGATTCGTTTTCCCGTCAAGTGCCCAACCCCGAAAGATAGTGAAAAATGTCACTCTCCTCAGGAAATAATCACAAAATTATGACCATAAAAATCATTAAAAAATATATCCATTGTAATTATTTGTTCAGGTTTATTTTTTTATACTTTTTTTCACATCACATCAGCGCTATAAAACACCAGTCCTAGTTCATTTATGTCAATTTTTAAAATCACAGCTTCCACAATTGTATGGCGGACTAATTTTTTAATGAGAGTCATAAATCTGTGTTCCTCATCTCAAGGTCCATTAGGGATATTGACCCAGTTGTATAGGAGAGGAATTTCAGAGTAGAAGCTAATATATAAACTGTAAATTACCACCAATAATACTAAACACACTAGTGGTATGCTTCCTATTATATATTAATATGTTTAAGACAACTGACACAAATCCTCAAAGTTAATAATTATGACAAATGCAATGATTTCATACCACCATTGTTTTCCCCCTATTAGTCTTTGTTAAATTAGCTTTTTTTTCAGAAAAATGTGCAGAATTTATCTTTGTTTCAAATACAGAAATACTTTTCATGACTAAAGTTTAATCCTTTCCATTACATCAGTCAAAAGTTCAAATAACATTTCATTGCATATTCATGTTTTTAAGATAATAACCATCACTGGAAGATAACCAATCAAGTTTTCACTCCTTGTTTTCATGTTTACAGGCTTGATTACCACGTCATCTCAAGGTTCCAAAATATTTTATAGAAACACCAAATATCAATTTAAAGAATGGTGCTTTAAATCACCAAAGATATATGTTTATATAATATATATAATGGAATTTGATGCGACTGTCATACAAGTGAGAGGTTTAGCGCTATAAAACGAGGTTAAATCCACGATTTTCTACATTTGAAAATGCCTGTACCAAGTCAGGAATATGACAGTTGTTGTCCATTCGTTTGATGTGTTTTATCATTTGATTTTGTCATTTGGTTAGGGACTTTCCGTTTTGAATTTTCCTCGGAGTTCAGTATTTTTGTGATTTTACTTTTTATGACTCAAAAATGCCGGATTAATTTCCTACAACTGTCAAATTCAAGGTTATATTTTTTCCATCCTTTTTCGAATGAATCCGGATGTGACGTACCATGTTTTGGTGGTATTACACATAAAGAAGACATTTTTGTATAATAAACTGAATGTGCTTTTTTTTTGTTTTAAATGCTAGTTATTTCAAGCATTACTGTTAAGTTTTGTCATAACCAGTTAAATAGTTTGAGAGAAATTAAGTATAATGTAAGACGCCATTTACAGCGATTTCAGCAAAATTTCTTCAAAAAATCCAAATCATGCTGTATCAGGATAGAATATAGTGTGGATCAATAAATGATCAACTATTATCTCATCTGCATAAAAACAGTTGAATATGATACAAAATATGACTCTTATATGATGAACACCACTACTGTACATCTTTGTCTTCATCATAAGGTCCCTTTTAATTTGGTCCATTTATACCTTCCATTCCTTAAAAAACTTGACTTTAAAAGGCTGATAATTACATTACATGTATGTTTCATTATAATACGTTATTTTGATTTGCTAACAGCAATCTAGTGTCATTCTGAAATTAACCTTCATTTCAAAATGAAATGTAACATTCATGATGACACGAGCTTCCACAATAAAGTGCACAGGTAAATAAAAGAAAAACTCGATAGAAATCGTGTTTTCATGATCCTAGCCAAAAAATGTAATTATAAGTATTGAATGCTTCTTTTAGTAATTTTACAGGGTTGTAAAAGCGTTGACCGTGCGCACATTTTTAGAATGAAGCGCTTCCGCGTTTCATAAAAAATGTACTTCGGTCAACGCTTTTACACCCCAATAAATTTACAAAAAGAAGCATTCAATATTAAAATAAATCAAAATGAGATAATAAATTAATAAATGAAGTGTTCAAGCTGAATGAAATATTTATGTAAAAGTTTACTGACTCCATAGAGGTTTCAATACGTCCTTACGTAAAACTTAAGTTCACGCCACGTTTCAGAGAGAGACATACAATGGTTCCCTTTTATTGAATAAGTTTTTGTTACTGCTTCAAAAATCATTTCGTTTACTTATTACTGTACAGGTCTTAAAGAGTTACTTAGGAAAACGTTTTCTTGTATAGACATGATAGACAAATATAGAAAATAAGAAGAAAAAGTCAGAAAAAGCTCCTTAAAACACTGAGTAGTACTTGCTCTGCCTACTCATATTCATGGTAGAGCCCTATTTCAAGGCAATTTCCCCTCAAATGAGTTTTTGAGACACAAATCCACTAGGAATATTTCATTTTTGCAATATTTCAGAGAAATAGCATGGAAAATTAAAAAAAGTAATGAGAGTACACACAAGGTGAACGGACCATACGCAGCTTCCCTAAATAGGAGTAACACCCCATTGTTTTCCCCTATTTGTCGTTGTTAAATTGAAATTTAAAAAAAAAATTGTGTAGAATTTATCTTCGTTTCAAATACAGAAACACTTGGCCTGACTACAGGTCAGTCCAGGACTACAGTCAAAGATTCACATGACATTTCATTGCCTATAAGATAAAAACCATCCTTTTTTTTTTCTTGTTTACAAGCTTTAATAACCATGTCACCTCAAGTTTCCAAAATATTTTATAGAAACACCAAATATAAAAAGAATGGTGCTTTGAATCACCCAAGATATATGTTTATGACTGAGAAATTTTATTTCTGCAATGAAATGCAAGGTTTTTTCCTACAACTGTCAAATTCAAGGGAATATTTTTGTTAGACCCTTTTTCGTGTGAACCTGAAAGTGACGTACCATGTTTTGGTGGTATTACATCTAAAGTAGTCTCAATTTCTTGTTAAAAAATGTAAATATAAGATGTTGTATGATTACCAATAAGACAATTTTCCACCAGAGACCAAATGACATATACGATAGCTATTAAAGGTCACCATGCGGCTTTCAACAATGAGCAAACCCCATACCACATATCAAGCTATAATTAAAACGAGAAAACAAATTGTCTGATTCATGTTCAAAACAGTAGACCCGAATTAAAAATATATGGTATATATCAAATAACGACAATCACTGAATTGCAGGCAATTGAGTTAGGACATGCACATACAAAATGTGGCGAGTTTTAACATGTTGTCAGGCGCTTAACCACTTTTTTGCCAATCAACTTTTCGACATATTGTCAATTAGGTTCCACATACAGTTCTGTCAAATTCCTGATTTGTATACTTTATTTCTATCACTGTCCCTTGTACGTTCCTGGTTTTGTTCTGTTAGAAGTTAATAAAATCCCTTCTGCTTTCATTCAGAAACTATTTTGACATGGAAATAGGATAAACATGTGCTTTATGAATCTGCAGAGATAACTACCAACAATTTTTCATCGATTGTGAATTTGTAAACGACTCCAAGAATAAAATAACAAACAAAATGAAAATCATAAATTTTTGTCAAAATATATCCTTAAAATCCTTAAATTTGGATACAAGATTGGAGACCGAAATTATAATGTTATTAATCTTATCATAACTTTGATAGAATTATCGGTCTACATATCATTTTACATATCATAAAAAAAACACAAATTGGCAAACATATACAATATTTTTAAAAACGAATTTGAATTATACTTTGAAGAAAAGAAAAAAAGAAAGGAGAAGCTGTCACATTTATCAAACATTTTTGTATGACCATCACCATGAGAAATTCATATATCAAAATAAGTAAACAAAAAGGACATCGGTCACAATTTACGTTGGATTTAATAAGGATGAGTTGAGATGGATAGATTTTATTTATATATTGTGTACATGGAACATGACGTATAGATATCTGCTGGTTTTGTTTCGAACATGTAGAATATAAATAGATCTGAGTTTCGTTTGGTCTCATTAAAATTAAGCAATTATAACAAGGGATTTACAACAGTAATAGAATAATATGCAATAAAAGGGGCACAATAAGTGCCAATCGAAATATCAATTACTTTCTGTCATAGTTCATCTCCTCAACACAAACATAGATGTTATCAAGCAAAAAAACCGAAGGGATTGGGTCTGTTTTTTTAGAGGAGCCTTTCGTGTTACTTAACATGAGTAAGAATCCGAAAAAGTAGAATTGAAAAATGAAAGGCGGGGTTGTGACTTCGTTTAAAGATAGATCAATTATTATTTCTGCCACAATTTGTAACATTCAACTTTGTCATGATTGTTTCAGTTAACTTTCAAGGAAGTGACTAAATTTACCATCAAGAACACATGGCACGGCATATTCCTTGTATTTGGCCTCCGGTAATAGCGCACATATCTAAAAGTCAACAGAACCAAATATTTGCGTTATGAAAAGACATTAATTGTATATTCTTTATTTCTTTTGTTACGGTACAAAGCATATCAACCGACTGATTCGTATGGTCAACGACTCTCCTGTCTACCTTCAACCAATCGTTGTCAAAGATCGCTATTTGGCAGTAGATGCATTCGATACGCAGTTAATTTCATTTGATGGTCCTGTTATTTGTGTTGTTTAAACATACTTCTTACTTTGCATCTTATTACAACTGAAAGGCCAAGAGCTCATGTATGAGGCATGAGAGCTCATCGTTGCATTGTGCATATTTTACCCATATTGTGGGTATTAAAAGTCATCTCAATTTTAGGACGATTTCAGATGATCTTTGTTTTCGTTGTTTCAATAGACATTTTCGAAAAGCCAAGACCATATAGATTTTCTAGAAGGCGTTGAAAGGGGTGGTAGCCAAATCAAAACAGTTTTGCAATTTGGTGAAATAACTTTTGTAAGTATTAATAGAAAAGAAAATAGAACAGGTTAAATAACAATAGTCTTTAACATCGTTTTGGAAAATTTTGAAATTACGCA